ATAGAGTCACAGAGTCATGGAGTCATCTATGTACCATGCACTTGACTCGATGTAGTTCACTCTATGCTCTATGTGTGGGAACGCTTAATCGAGATCCCCATAGCGTGAGGGCTCATAGCCTGACCTGGACCTCGAGATGCAGATACAGTCAAGAGTCATAGAGTCCATGAGTCATGAGTCATAAAGTCATAGAGTTACAGTGAGATAGCGTCATAGAGTCATAGTGAGATAGAGTCACAGAGTCATGGAGTCATCTATGTACCATGCACCAAAATGTGTAACTTCACCTCGCGCTCGAACACTCGACAACGCCAATCTGTGTGAAGGGTTGCAAAATTCATCTCAATGCTCATCAAAAAATGCAACTTTACCTCGCGTTCGAACACTCGACCACGCCAATCCCTGTGAGGGGTTGCAAAATTCATCTCAATGCTCATCAAAAATTGCAACTTTACCTCGCGTTCGAACACTCCACCACGCCAATCCCTGTGAAGGGTTGCAAAATTCAGCTAAATGCACATCAAAAAATGCAACTTTACCTCGCGTTCGAACACTCGACCACGCCAATCCCTGTGAAGGGTTGCAAAATTCATCTCAATGCACATAAAAAAATGCAACTTTACCTCGCGTTCGTGCATTCGACCATGCCAATCCCTGTGAAGGGTTGCAAAATTCATTTCAATGCACATAAAATAATCCATTTCAATGCTCGTCAAAAAATGCAACTTTACCTCGCGTTCGAACACCCGACCACGCCAATCCCTGTGAAGGGTCGCAAAATGCCAATCCCTGTGAGGGGTTGCAAAATGCAGTTGAGCTGCGCCCAAACCCTGTGAAGGGTTGCGCGGCGCGCGAAAAATGTGTAACTTTACCTCGCGTTTGAACGCCCGAGGAGGCGAAACCCTGTGAAGGGTTGCGCGGCGCGCGAAAAATGTGTAACTTTACCTCGCGTTTGAACGCCCGAGGCAGCGAATCCCTGGGAAGGGTTGCGCGGGAACCCTAAAATGTGTAACTTTACCTCGCGTTTGAACGCCCGAGGCAGCGAATCCCTGGGAAGGGTTGCGCGGGAACCCTAAAATGTGTAACTTTACCTCGCGTTTGAACGCCCGAGGCAGCGAATCCCTGTGAAGGGTTCACCCGGGCGCCTAATAAGTTAAAAAATGTGTAACTTTACCTCGCGTTTGAACGCCCGAGGCAGCGAATCCCTGTGAAGGGTTCACCCGGGCGCCTAATAAGTTAAAAAATGTGTAACTTTACCTAGCGTTTGGGCCCTCGCCCATGCCAATCCCTGTGAAGGGTTGCGCGGGAACCGCAAAATGTGTAACTTTACCTCGCGTTTGAACGCCCGAGGCAGCGAATCCCTGGGAAGGGTTGCGCCGGGCGCCTAAAATGTGTAACTTTACCTCGCGTTTGAACGCCCGAGGCAGCGAATCCCTGTGAAGGGTTGCATTCCCGATGGACGACAACGGTGCCACCCCCTGGCTTTAAAAGAGAGAATTAGATACCGAGATGTAGAGAGTAAGTCATAGAGGCATAGAGTCAAGTAAGTAAGTAAGTAAGTAAGTAAAAGTAAGTAAGTAGGTAATAAGTAAGTAGGTAAGTAAGTAAGTAACTAAGCAAGTCAAGTAAGTAAGTAAGTAAGTATAAGTAAGTATAAGTAAGTATAGAGATAGCATAACATAGAGTCCAGTGTCAAGTGTCAAGTAAGTTAGTAAGTAGATTGAAGTAAGTAAGTAAGTAAGTAAGTAGTAAGCATAACATAGAGTCAAGTATCAAGTGTAGAGTCAAGTATCATAGAGTCAAGTGTCAAGTGTAGAGAGTCAGTCATAGGGGTCAAGTAAGTAAGTAAGTATCAAGTGTAGAGTCAAGTATCAAGTGTAGAGTAAAGTACGGAGTCAAGTAAGTTGATTCTATGTCTGTCATCTATGTACTCAGCTGCGGCGTTCCACACGGAAGAACCCTTCGCGATGCTTTCGGGAACACATGCCATACCTACTCTTGCCGTATTCCCGCGGCCGGAGCCCTTGAACGCCTCAACCCTAAACCCTGCAACCCTGAATGTTCCTAGGTGGTGGGGTACTCATCAGCCATCAGCGCCTGTTACCGAGCCCAGAGTTGGCAAAGGGCCTTGCTGCTCTTCCAGCGTCTGGAGGACGAGGGGTTTCGGCAAGTGGGCAGTCTGGGAAGTTCCTATATTCACTGAATTCTATGCTACTTATAGTAGGGGTTTAGGGTTACGGTGCATGGGGTTTAGGATTTAGGGGAAGGGGCAGAAACTGAACAAATCGCTGGATGGGTGGATGGACGGAAGGATCGATGGAGTAAGACGAATGAAATGGGTAACAACATGACATGTAGTGGAATGAAGTTAATTGAGGTGAGAAACGATGAAATTGAACATACCCAAAACGAAGTGACATGACATGGAATCAACGAACGAATCAATGAACGGCTGCATGAATGCATTGATCTATGGCTGGATGCCTGCACGGATTCATGAACGGCTGCACGCGTGCATGAACAACTCAACAAATAGAACACGGTCAGTAATGTAGAATGCCAATGTCAGCAGTGCCATGCGTATTGTGGGCCGCTGCAGTATTCCGACAGTCGAATCAAGCCAGCGATGTCAAGCATCGGGTTCTCTGTGCGCGCCCGATCAAAGCTTTCCCAGAAAGGACAGTCAGTCTTGCCGTTTTCCAGAGGGTCTCCAATATCTTCGGGATCCTCGGCTCATCGGAAGGACAATCCCCCAAATTCCAAAACCCCATCAGAGCCCCATTTAGAAAGAAAGCACAGTAGCCACCTTAGAAAAATCCTCTCAAACCCTATAAACCCTCATTATGAGGGCCCTTAACTTACCTTGGGTTAGTTGGGAAGGGAGGAATTGGGTACAGTTATAACTACTATTACTACCATTCTTCCATTCCCTACTAACCAATGGTAAGTTAAAAAAAAAAAAGCTGTGCAGGAGCGGCGGCTCGAGGCCAATGCAGTGGCTCTCGGCGCGAGTGTGGCGGCCTGCGAGGCCGACAGTGGGCTGGGAGAGATGTAGGTTTCGTCATACGTACATATAACATACTGTCAATTTCTGACATATCTCCGTATGTATGTAATTTTGTATGTACGTACGTATGTATGTATCTATGTATATATGCAAAAATACTTTCGCATGCATATATATATATATATATACACACACCCGCAGATAAGGTCTTGTATTTGTTTTGTGTATGCACAGCTATTCTGGTGCAGCTGCATCCGCAAGAAACGAATATTGCTGCTTTAGGATTCCAGTTCTGGATTTGCCCGCCTGGCGGGCTGTCTAGCCGAGTCTAGCCAGCTATGGGGACACGTCGAAGGCGGCGTTTCAAAGCAAGTCTACCTGCTTCCCATCGAAGTGCGGCGTTCGGATAAGTCAGGGAGAAAGACATGACAGCAGAACCTGCTGGCTCGGACGGCGGAGGGCGACTAGCTTCGCGCTCTTAGCCCTCCTGCAGGATGCGTTGGGCACCATAAGTCGAAGACAGTCTCCCATGAAGAGTCTAAAGCATAGTTTGAGTATTTTGAGTCTAAGAGTCCTCAATTCTGGCTAAGTAGGCAGCCAGAAGTGACAACCATGTCCTGGGCCCCTCCTGATGCACCCTCCCAGCAGCCAGGCAGGGAACCTGGGCCAGGAGGCCGGAAAGTCGTTTAGGATGTTTCTTGGCTAGGCATTTTTTGGATTCGATCTTCTTTCGGGTCCGGTTGGCTCCGTCGATGCAACCCGGCGAAGCATTCAGGAGCTGGCCTCAGCCCTGCTGGCAAAACCCAAACTTTCCTTGCCCTCGCCGTGATCAGGCAGCTCGGCTACTGGCGAATCTGCAGACGGCTGCAGCGCCAAAAAAGACGAGCAGCCAGTGTAGGGAAATGTCGTGAGGCGTTATTTCATTCGGACAACGGGCCACGAAGACGTAGTCGCAGACCCAAGAGATGAAGAGTTGTTTCAGTCTGAGCGTTGTCTGTCGTTTTGGGACAGCTAACTTGTCCTGCCGATGCCAGTACAGCAGTTTGCAACATCGGTTGGTGGTCCATGCCTAGGAGGACCCATAGCTCGAAACTCTGGCAGGGATTGCAAGGGATCAAGAATAGTTTGGACACTGCCCACGAAGGCACTTTCTTGCAGTATCGCGCTGTCGTGTGCGTACACCATGACCACTTGGTTCTGGCACTTGCCCAGCGTGTAAGGTGGGGAGACCCGCTGATCAAGGAAGGATGGACGGTCAGACCGAAGATGACCAGAGTTTAGATCGGAGAGTGAAGAAGGATTTAAGCCTGGCAAGGCGTGAGAATTTCCTTCGGCTGTATTTAGGCGAAGCCGTGGAAGGTTTCTTGCCGAGACCAGCAGAAGGCTTCGGATCATTATGCGGTAATCCTTCGGCCAGTCTTGCCTTGTCAGCAGAGCTTTTCGCAGAGTCATGCTACAATGCTAGACTCAATAGTGCGAAAGAATTGACTGACAGAAAGCCCTTAAGACACCACCTTGAGGTTTCGAGGCAGCGTTGCAGATCAAGCCCGCACAACGGTGTGGCATGGTAGCCTGAGTGGCATGGGGCTTGTCCCAATGTCCGAGGAAGGGCCGAGATGGCGAAAGGACTGGATCACAAGGTGGCTTTCACTTCTGGGGGATGCTGACATGAAGCATCTCCATGCGGGAAGCTGCACGTCAGCATGGGCCGGTGAGCATTACCAGCACCCATGACTGGCGGAATGGGCTGGCATTGCTTCATGTCCTTAGTTCCAGTGCTGTCGAACAGCATATCGCGACTTACGGGGCAGCAGTCAGCGCATGCCGGAAAACGAGCTCATGGAAACCGGCCCTGACAATACTAAAAGAGCTGGGCGGATCTGCTCTTCAGAGCTCTATCATCACATACAATTCAGCCATCACCGTTTGCTCTGAAGTGTCTTGGCCGCGAGGGCTATCTCTTCTCGCAGAAGTTTGCACACAGAGCTTGGAAATGAGTGCACAGTCAACCGGAGCAGCACTGTCTTCATGCATTTTTGAGGATCGGTGGCAGGACGCGATTCAACTCCTGGAGTGCTTCCATGCTTTGGACATTGAAGCAGGCACCATTTCGCTCAATTCCGCCATGAGCATTTGCAAGCATCCAGGAGGATGGCAAACTGCAAACCACCTCGTCAGCAGCATCTATGCCCGAAGCCTTGAGGCATCGTCCATCACGTATAACACTTGCATGAGCGCATGCTCCGAAGGTGGTCATTGGCAAACTTCCTGTGTTCTTTTCAGCCGGATGCGGGACAGACATCTCCCAGGAACTGTGGTCTCTTACGGCGCCTTACTGGAAGCTAAGAGTCCTTCTTGCTGGCGACATGTGTTGGCTTTGTTTTTGCAACTCGGAACATCAGGTTTAGAATCCAACATAGTCACCTCCGCTGCTGTGATCAGTGGTGAGATCAAGGGCCAGTGGCAGCGTGCATGTGCATTGCTTATGGCATGCACCACACGACAAATCCGAATCAACTTGACGGCCTTCAATGCCGTCATCAGCGCCTGCGAGAAGGAACGTCGATGGGAAGCAGCACTGCATCTCTTGGAAGAGCTGCAACTCGAGCGGATCCGAGCGGACATCATCTCGTTCAACGCAGTAATCAGTGCTTGCAACGCAGGCGGGATGTGGCAGCAGGCGCTTGCCTTGCTTGTGCGTCTGGATGCCCTCATGATGCGCGCCGACGCTGGGCTGGCTATCTTTGAGGAAGATGTAAAGGCCATGGGTAGATTGCATCACACACCAGCATACACATGTGGTGCGGTTGCTAAGCTCCCCTTCCCCTAATACTATGGTGCGACGCCCTTGCCTGTCTGCTGGCGTGGCCCACATTCAATGCTGTGATGCGCCCTCTCCCGGGCAGTTCTGGCTGCATCCCCCAATCTCACATCCCTTTCTCGATGTGGGTTGTTCTGACTTTCCTCTCTTACTGTTAGAGGTTGCCGACAGGTGTTCTTCATTCGGATTGCCCTTCTCGACATGTTCGAATCGAAACACCAGCCACCTATCCCTGTGGCTGATGGCATTGTTGAGACGTCACATCCACAAAGGCGTTAAGATCTGGAAACAGCAACAGTTGTGCGCAACGAGCCCCCAGCGACCGATTCCATGCGAAGTGATGCCAATCTCCCAGCCGCGCAGCAGTTTCAAGGATTTCAGGCCCAACATGGGCCACTGTGACGCAGATGCCATGCTCGCCTCCAGACCATGTCTCTCTATCTATCTACCTGCCTATCTATTTACCATGACAGTCTCTCCGTCTGTCTATCGATCTATCTATCTATCTGCACATGCATCCCAGGATCGGATTACGTACAATGCCGCCATCAGCGCTTGCGAGAAGAGCCAGGAATGGCAGCAAGCATTGGTTCTTCTTGGGCAAGCGGAGCGGCAGAGCCCACCGGCTGAATCAGGCACGTTGGTTGCTCACTGTGTTGCGGTATACGAATTACTGTGCCGCGTGCTCGAAATTCGAGAGCCTGCATCAGCTCGGGAGCGAGTTTAGCAATTGCTTTGTCAGTGACCACTGGCACAATTAGACAGCTTCCATCAAAGTCGCTCGTGGAAGTGTTGCGCATGTGCGCGTTTGTTGCTCTGCAACTGGAAGTATCAGCTCCAACATCATTGAGGCCTCGGCCCGGTAGAGGTTTCGAAACATGATGACTGCCCGAGGAATGCAGCTGGGCATCATAACCTACAACGCTGCCATCAGCGCTTGCGATAGAGGTGCCCCGGGCTGCTTGCAGTGGGTCACTCGAGGAAGCCTCAGACTCAATCAACTGCTGGCGAGAATTGTTGTTATTGTTAAGATGTGTATACCAAGATACACAATGAGCTTGCGGTGAGCCTCCTGTCACCAGCAAAACTGACAGGTGGGCAATGGGAGCTGGCGCTGCATTTACTCAACGAGGCTGTCTGCAAACGTGTCGTGGCAGCAATCGGTACCAGGAGCAGCACGAGAAGTAGTCGGAGGTTCTGGCAAGTAGGAGTAGTACAAGCAGCAGGAGCCAGAACAGGAGCAAGAGCAGGAGGAGGAGTAGTCGGAATTGCAGGGCTAGAGCTAGGGTTAGTGGTATTGGTAACCTGTAGTTGTTGTTTGCTTAGTGTGGTGGTTGGTTGTCGTTGGTTGTTGTTGTGGTGGTTGTTGTTGTTGTTGTGGTTGTTGTTGTTGTTGGCAGCGCGTGCGTCTGCCGCCGCGCGGGGTGGTGTGATTTCTTTGCTGGCATGTGCTGCAGCTCGGGTTTTGGCACTTTGCTCACCCGGACTTGAACTTGCCTTTTGTTGTCGCATCGGTTTTTGCGGTGTTTTCTAGCAAAAAAAGCGACAGCCGGCGGGCTGCACTGTACAAGAACACGCTGAGCTCTCCATTTCGCATCGTTTGTTTCGGTGTGTTCCTATATGTGTCGCATTTCGCATCGTTTTTTTTAGTGTTTTTGCCGACTCCCGACTTTTTTCGCATGCCAGCTTAGACTTGCATTTGTCTGCAGCTGTGTGCGGGGGGGGGGGGGGGGGGGGGGGGTGATGACGTCCATGCGAATGCGGCTTGCGTCTTCTGTTTATTTTGTTGCGTTACTTCTCAAACGCTGCCGGTTGCTCTGTGAAATCGTTCTTGCCGCTTCTTGTTGCTTCACTTTTGAAACGTCAACCATGCAAAAACCCTCGTGTTTTGAGGCTTTCCAGACAAAAACTTTGCAAAGAACACCCCTAAATCATCAAAAATAAAAGACGACAAACATTGTATTTGCGACAAGATCGAAAAACGTAACACAAAAAACAATGACAAAGAAACTACAGGTATGGAAAATAATCCGAAACATTGTCTTGTTGACGACAACCACACAAAACTCAGGGTGTTCAAGCTTGTTGACCAAAAACACTCCCAAAAATAAACGACACACCCCGCGCGGCGGCAGACGCACGTGCTACCTTGTTGTTGTTGCTGTTGTTGCCGCTGCTGTTGTTGACACAGCTGAAGCTCAGGATTGAGACCGCAGCTTACGAGCTACAACGCGGCAGCCAGCGCCTGCGCCAAGGAGCTGCGGTGGTACGAGGCCGTGTGCCAAATCTCAGGGCAGGGCCGAATGTAACATGTGCGTACACATGCCATGGTCGATGCATCTGTTTTGATTATAGTACCTACTTAGAGTCACGCATGCACACCGAGACACAAGCTCGCACACGCACACACACACACACACATACATACATATATGGGCAGCCCACAAGCATGCATTCCACGATTCAGCGGGCCCGCATCGTATCTCTGAAGCCCGAAACGGCAGATGCTGTGGAGGCAGTGATTCTTCTGGGCCAGCTGAACGAAGCCGGGATGGAAGATGCTCGGGCATGGATTGGGTGGGGTCGAAGTTTTCAGAAATTCGATGCACAGGTTTAACTAAGCGAGTTTCACATGAAGGCGATTGGATCCAAAGCCAGGCTGTTGACGAAATTCCATCTTCACGATTCGGAGACCATCATAAGTAGTTAAAGTCCGACTCATGAACCCAGCTGTTCGTGTCCTCAGGGCGACGTGGTTTCGCTGACTGCAGCCATCGCTGCCTGCAAGTTTCAATGGCCCCTTGTGTTGGCGCTCCTGAGCAGGTGGGCCGAGACCAAGCCTCTTCCCGTATACAAGGAAGCGCTTCAGTGTTGAAAGGTTTGAGAGGTTTCATGTAGGATCAGGGCATCAACGGAAGGTGTTTTGGAGGCGTTTAGGGTTTCGACTCTGCAATCCGTCAAGCGGCTTTGGGTCCGAAGGTGGAGTTTTGCCGGCAATTCGGCGACCTATACTGCAGCAGACGCCTGGCCGGAGCATTTCAGCTTTGCTGTTCAGCCCTTCGCACACCTTGTGGCATTCTTGAGTGTGGGCTTTGGCTGAGCAGTACCCTGTCACTAGAGCAGTGCGGCTTCGCCCATGAAGTATCAAATATTGGTTCCTACTGTATGTCTAGCCTAGCAGGTGGGCCAAACCGCACCATATTCAGGTCGCCGCTTGCCAGCTGGACGACCAGTGGAGTGCGACCAGTAGACTTCTGAGCCTCTTCCGCGAAGGTTCTGGCTGGATATGGTGGTGAAAACCCGTGGTCGAAAAAGTGTGTGCATTCTGCCATGTTCTGCTCGTGTTTCGGCGGCCTTGCCCCAGCGTTGTGTCGTAGTGAGCGGATGCCAGTCAACCGACGCTTGGGCGTGTCCCAGGGCGAAGTTTGTGGTCTCGAGAACGGTGTTGGCTATTAGACCTGTCGCACGGAGCTGTAGAAGTATGTCAAGACAATTGCCACAAGTCCTGCCCTGCAACCCCCCCATGCAATGTTCCATAGATTCCGACGAAACCGGCATGAATCAGAAGTTTCTGCCACATTCCCGATGACGTGGCCCTAGCAGAATAGACTGACTCCACACGCCCAATCTCAGAGTAGAAGCCTCTTATCTTTCACCTCTACGCGTCCCTGGGCCAGGCATCTGGACTGTTTGCCCTGAAGCCCCTCATATTGAAACTTCCGCGCTTGGCAGCGCGGGCCTTTCATGAGAATCGGGGAGTTTCTGTGTGTTTCCTTGAAGGATACTGTTAGGGTTGAAGCGGGCTTTTAGAAGTTAGTTTGCTTACAGGGTTTGGGGTGTTGCTGACGAGTTTAGGATAGTTTAGGGCTCCATGCTGACAGAGTTCTGGAGTGTTGAGGCCTTGGAAATGTTTGCGCACAACCAGAGATGTGTCGAACTGGCTGCATTGAATCCGAACATCAGACCTACCTCGCCTCCATGGATGCTTCGGAGATCAGCTTCATGCTCGGACTCCTCTCTGAGGTGCCGCAAGGGGGGAAGCTGGGGAGGAGGGGCTTTTCGGGAATCTCTTTGCGGCTCCAAATGCAGAAGTTGCACCGTGTGATGCTGGTGAGCTTGGGAGACGTCTTCAATGGGTGAGGTTCAGGCATCACTAGCCGAATAGTGTGACTCTAGACTCTAAACCCTGCACTGGTCACACCGATTCCAAAAGGGTTGGCTCTTGTAGTAGTCGATTTGCTCTGCTTCCATGTAGGAGCTCATTCCGACAAGCCCTACTGTGGGGTGACTGCAACAAGCCAGAAGTCATGGTAGGAAGATTACGGAGACGATGACGCCCCAAAAAGGAAATGACATAGAGCAACCCCAGAAGACTTCAGAGTGGCTGGCTGTCGGGCGCAGGAGTATAAGAAGAACTTTGAGATTGTCTCCTCGCTCGAGACAGAGCAGCCGATGCTGAAGCTCAGCTACCTCTCAGGCTGTGCAGGGGTATGGGAGAGGTAGATCGCCGGCAACTCCGACACGACAGCATCCTCATCATCACCGCAACCAGCATAAGACAGCCAAGTTTGGTGAGACAGCCTGAGCTCTAGAAATAGGCCGGCTTTGCGAAGCTGCAACCTCGTATACAGGAGGCGTGGTATACATGCTAAGTGAGCGGGTAGGCCTGTCGGAAGCTACTGCTTTCCGTGGCTTTGGATGCAAGAGTGTGCCGGAAGTCTTTGTTTACTGACTGCAGCGGGATGTCCCTCAAACTCGCTGAGTCTTCTTGTATGTTCACGATTTGGTTGGCTTCGTGGGAAAGCCACCGTGGCCCCTGCAGCTTGCGTTCAAGACGATTCCAGTGGCTGTGGCATCGTGGTTGTCTCCTCCTTGTTTCCGTCTGCCAGTACAGGCGGAGAGCCACCAGTGGGTGCGTAGCGGGTAGCGAACCTTGTACTAGCATGAACTGACAGTAATACCCTGGAAGATTTAGCTACTGTCTCTTGAAGACATGGGCTAATTATACAACATGCAAGCAGAAGAAGGTTCCTTGAAGCATCGTTGCATCATGGCAGTGCTTAGCCGTGCTCTTGTGCGGCTAAAATAAACCCACGATTGTAAAGTAGCTATCTCCTGAATGTGAACTTGCCCGCGTTTCGTTGGTCAGACTTTCGCCACCCCATCGTGGCGAAAGCTGCGCCGGAGTGGGTTGCAGACCTGTTCGCAGCCGTGCATGAGGCGCGCGTATGCACTTGTCAAGTGATTATCAGTGCCATGAGGATCTGCTTCAATCAAGGGGCTGCAAGGCTAGAAGTGTATTGGCGGTGTTGGCGAGTCCGGGAGTCGCGACGCTGTTCTTCAGTGCAGATGTTCAGCTTCATCGACCGGTGGCAGCAACAGCATGCCCGCCCTAAATTTCGCATTTGCTAAACTCGTCAAGGGTCCTTTGTCGCTGAGGGCTTGAGTTGGTCTTTGTCTCGGCCTGAAGCATACGGGCGATGGGGCGCTACACGCTTGTTCCTCCACGATCACGATCGTGACAGTACTCCGACAGAGGAGATGCCTCCCACACCGTCGGGCAGCACCACCTTGCTGTCTTGCAACATGTCCTTCAACGAGGCCCGTGTTCGGGAAGCTGCGGACTGGGTGGTCGACTTGTTACGGACCTGCTGGAATCAGCTACACGAAGTCAAAGCTGCCTGTTCGATGCACAGTATAATTGTCTGCTTGATGCCTCTGGACCTTATCAATGCAGAGGCGTGACACTAGATGAAATGAAATTTTCCCACCACAAGGGGCCGGCCAATTTTTCTTTCACTTCCCGGAACCGGATTCGGACCTGAGTTTGGCGTCACCCGAAAACCCGGAAGGCCCAGGTTCAGCAGGGGTATGTGTAAAAACTGGCTGTCTTTCAGAAGCGACTGCAACGCATGGTTGACCGTTGCTTTCGGAGCTCCGGTGAAAGGCGCTCAGATCTTTGGTACGAAGTCTACTATATGCTCCAATTTCAGGCAGCCTTGAATTTTGCCCAGGGACTATGTACCCTTGCAGCCGAACGCATCACAAAGAAAGCCCTGTTTTTGCCGAAGTCGCTGGCCACGCGCTTCTTCGACTTGATGGGAGAGGAGGCGGAGAGGGCACCTCGACTGGCACGGCGGAGGCGCAACGCTTGTTCAAATCCAGGATTTCCATCAGGTCAGACCTTGCGCAAGTCTGGAAGTTTTAGCAGTGCCAGCTGTCCTTTTGGCAAGGCGTCTTTGCGCCTTTGCTCTTTGTACCAAGCCGTGCCACAGGTGGCAAAATCGCTTGCAGCGACAATTTCTCACGTGCTCCACAGATGAATTTCGCGGAGTAAACCCTTTGACCAAGAGTATTGCCCTCCTCGGACCCGTCGTGAGATGAGTAGGACTGTTTGGGCCATCGTGTGCAGGATCGTCCGCGAAGTCTTTGTGTCTGACAACCAGAGACACCAGATCGTTTCGTGTTGCGTTTTCTTTTGCGGTAGTAACCGGCAGTAGTGTGCGCAGCGAGGTGACAGCCGTAAAATCAAGTAGAAGAGTTGTGCGACAGCATCAACTATGCTCAGCCTGGCCGTAGTTTCGACCAGCATGCCTAAAGTGATGCCTTTCCTTCATTATGCGAGTTCGACTCGCAATGGCTTTCATTCATGGCCTGCTCTCCGACGGTCGTATCAGCCTTCATCCAAGCCATCCAAGAGTTGCTTCGATTCTCATTCTGCTCGAGAGCTAAGCGCCAGGTACGAACCGGACATTATCTGCCTGCAGCTTGTGGAGGCCGCTTGCAGCCACAGAAGCCAAGGATTTGCAAGGAAGGAGGACATGCGTTTGAGGACTACAGGGCTGGCCCACGATGACGTCTTTCCTTGATTCTAAAGACTGTCGAGGGTGCAATCATACTGTATGGCCCTTGACTTAAAGGTAACCGCTAGAGCGTAAGTCCCTAAGCAAGACAGCCGGGAGGCTCCGATTCCTTTGCTTTTCTGTGGGCTCAGATCTCAAATCATCAGCCTCGTTCCGCGCTTGAAGGCGGATATCGCGGCGCCTGTGGCCGGAGCTGAGTTCTCGAAGAACGCAGGACGGTTCAGGGGTTAGGAAACCCTAAGCCCTACTTTGCACCCCTGGCCCTTCTTTCTGCTGCCAGTCGATTTTCTGAGATTATCAGCACGAGCTGTCACAAGGAAGGTGTTACGTTGTCTTCTTGTCCCTCAGTCCATGACGCTCAACGCTGCCTTGAGCTGTACGAGTTCTGCAGGAGATTCCGCTGGAGATGAGTTGGACGGCTGCTTACAGATCTGTGTTTGGTAGATCTTGCCGTGTTTGGGTTGGTCTACCACGGGACTTGACGTGTAGCTGGAGGAGCTCTAGACTCGTGACCCAGGCAACGCAAGGCAGACCGACCTTGTCCGAAGGCACTCTGCAGCTTGGCATATTTGGTTTAGATCGCTGAACAGGATCAGATTGGACAATGAAGCTTCGCTGTGTGACATGTCGTCAATACTTGTCGACGACGACGATGCTGCCGGCGGTCGTGGTCGTGGTCCTCGTCCTCGTCGAAGTTGTAGTAGTAGCAGCAGCAGGAGGAGTAGTAGTACTCGTCGTCGTCGTAGTGGTTGCAGTCGTCGTCGTCCTTGGAGTCATTTGTTGAGCCGCTGATGACTTTGTGGTCGCCAGCCTTACTTCAGCGACGGCTGCTCCTGGTGGTTTTCTGTGCTGTTGCTGTTGCAATGCTGCTGTGGTTTGCTGGCTTGCTGTTGTTGTCATGCCTGACTGCAGATGCCGTGCGAAATGATCATAGCACCAAAAAATCGAGGCTGGCAGACCTCGTGTCCAGGCTTGAGGCCGAGGCGCGCCTCTTCGAAGCTTCGGATTTCAGGGTTCGGTCCGGTTTCTTCACTAGCCGCTTAGCCGCATCAACCCGAAGATACGTAAAGGTTAGGCATGGTGCCGTGAAGGAGGTATAATTTTTCCTGTGACACACCACCCAAACCGCAACTCGCCTGTCTCCGAACTTCGAGATGCATCCACTAAGAACGACGAAGAGTTGAAATCAGGCTATAGGCTTACTAGACCACGCGTGCAACATTCGAAAATCGACTGTCGGGCGTCGTGAGGACTACGAGTGGTGTGCAGCGCCCGCGCCAGCCTCAGCACTACGATGAGTTGCCAGGAAGTCGCCAAACGGGAGCTTCGACCCTACATGGTCGGATCCGTAGTATAATCAATCGCGAACCCAGCGTCCACTGCCAGCAGTCTGCCAATCGGCTGTACTATTTATTGTTTGATTGAAACAGGCTCCTACCTGCATGACCGGTAGCTCCTGATGAAAGAGTTTGATGTTACGTTGAGTGAAGGGCTTGGGGCATGTTGCCACCTGGCCGTGAATACCCAGCACGACCGGGACTTCCAGCGACGCTTCTACTCTTCGTGATTCCGTGCTACCCTACTTATCGTGCCTGCTCACGATTTAATAAAGTGGATGCCTCGAACACTGTCCGTAATTTGCGATCAGGTTCTTGGTGTAGCAAACTCTTCAGCAAGTTGCCAAGGTTGGGGATGACGGGGGCTGCGCCAATGCTGCCTCAGACTCAGAAGTTTCGGCATGTTGTGGGCCAAAACCGCTTCACTTGAAGATCAACACTTGGCTGGGTATTTGGTAAAGGTGCAAGGATTTCGTTGTCGGAGTGCGCGCGGGTGCACGCATCCGCATATGCCCTCAATCGAAACCCCAGCTGCAGACTTGCTGTGGATCAGATATCATTTCCGGATGAAGCTCTCACGGCAAAAGACCTTGCAGCGCAAGCATGATTATGTGGGTGCATAACCATAGCAGGTATGAAAGTCTTCGTGCAACATACCCAAGTCACTAGCCGCACTAGCCTCATTGCGTAGGTCCTTCTACTACACATTACTATAACTATACACTACACGCTATGTTCAGCCACATCGCGGGGGAGTCTCCTTTCTCAGGTGTTCTGGAAACGCTGCAAATGGTCCGCTATCTGCTGGGGGCAAGGCGCCACAATCAGAAAGAAGAAATTGCACTGATGCACGCCACTCATTCAGCGGTCACAAAGCCGGTCGAACAATCTGAAAGGAATTTGTGTCCTAGTTACTGTTGCTGTTCTTTGGGCTCGATTAGTCAATTTGCAAGTCAGTGGTTGGCTTGACAGGGTGCATACGTCTTGATACTCCTGCGTCGACCTGCACTGTCTTGCATAGCCTGGTGAGGCACCAGCATGTGCTCAACATGCCCGGCCTTTGTATCACTTCCTTGAACTATTCCGCTCTAGGTTTTCTTGCACGTGCTCGAAAGGCAGTGGCGGAGCCATATGCATCAGCTTATCCGAAGTGCACGAAGAGGAAGCACTGCCCGGCACTAAGCTGCCTTCCACTGTTCCAGTCCTGCTCCTTGGAAGTTCAGCTTTCACCACCGGGCCTTCAGGAAATCCAGGGCTACGAATGTACAGATGCATAAATACCCTAGATATCTACTTATTTAAAGTATACACAGTACATACACGTAAGCAAAAAATACACATGTAGGGTACAGCACACTGCATCTTGCGCACTCGGCAGGCCGACCATTGTGGCAAACATGAGCGAAGGGTCCGAAGAGGCCGCGCCCGCTCCGCACAGGGTCAACTAACTTGCCCAGTCTAAGATATAGGGGCCTTAATAATGACCTATACTATTTTCGGGGGTTCCTTATTCTGATTACGGTATATGGGCCCCCAAAACCAACATCTAATTATCAAGGCCCCTATGTTGATTGCATCAGGATTTGGTCTCCTTCTGCATCATGGTTTTGAAACTAGAGACGTTTCAAGCATTGCCATGACTGTTCTCGTCACTCGGATTCAGGTGCATACTTTGCACGTGAAGCCTTGCAGCGCAGATTTAAACTGCTCGCCACAGATCTGCATTGGTTGCATAGTTGCATAGGAGCCGTTACATGGGTCAAGTCTGGTATAGTATGGAAGCCTAGATAATTAGAAAAGTTATTGTTAGGGTCCCTTACTATAAGTATAGTAGAAGGTGCCGCAAAACCCTATTCTAATTTATTAAGTCCCCTATAGTAAACGACACCGTGGCGCCATGGCTCGAGCCTGCAAGCACCCTGAGAGCCTTCGCAGACCCTTTGCCAGGAATTCGCAGCAACCCTGCAATCGCTGAAGGCTAGAAACTCGGCCCCTCTTTGCTGCATCTCAGAAGTTCTGGCATGTAAAGCCCGATGGCTATTCAGGATCTGGCTGTCGAATTGATGCGTCTCAGCTGTGAGATGAGCAGCCAGAGTCACCGTGATGCAAAGGCCGCAGCGCCGCTGTGTGCAGACGAGGCCAGTTCTTGGCAGCTGGTGCAGACATGTGCAAATTCCTGCTTAAACTCCTCAACACTTCCAGCTGCAAGCGCCTTCAATGCCAGGATACAGGCACCACTCCATCTATCCTTTGCGCATCTGGAGGCCTGTGGATACTTCAGCTTCCGCACTGCTAGTGATGCTGCTCGGAGCACGGCTGCAGGATTTGACGTTGCACGCCAAGCAGCGATTTTTGAGGCGCAGGCCTGGCTTAGACTCGGACTCACAGCCTTACACGACGCTGCCTTGGCTTTGGCCACTGTAACATACTGCAACAGAAGGGAACTATGTGGCTACGTTCAATGGTTGCATCTGACCATATATCCGAAGTCTCTTGCGAGACTGCGGCCCTCTCATTGCATCACTTCTCAATGCCAGTGCAGGGCTTATCACACCTGCGAAGCGCAACAGAGGAGGCCAGGCCAGCCGGAGGAGTCGGTATTCGGATGGAGAGATACGCATAGCTTAGTCAGAATACAACCTCCCTGCCTCTTTGAGATTTGCCCGATGTCCTCATGTGAGTGCTCGGCGTGGCGGAAGGTCTTGGGCGCAGAAGTGCCATGGACGGAGATTGTGGCGAATGCCTCAGAGTCAGAGCAAAAAGACTGTGAGTTTCTCTTTTCTGCACTTTAGCATCGGACAGCCCTGTCGTCCTCATGCGTTTTGCACCTGATGGAAGCCAACCACTCACCTACAAGCCAGCAGCCAACAGATGCAGCTCCACAACAGCACGCCAACCTGTCGAAATTCGGGCTGCCTGAATTTCACAAGGATCTATAAGTCTATAAGCTTTCGAGGCAACCATAAAAATAGCTGTCGTTAGCATAGCAAGCTTCTACACTTGAGCACAGGCTTCTCGCACCCACGGGAGCCCCGTCTCTAAAGCATTGGTGATACTCGTAGCTGTCGTAGCTCAGTACTTCCACTGCTCACCACGGGCACACTGCCTGCATTCTAGATTCTAGCGCTGGGCGACAAAGACCGTCGCATGTCCAGGGCGCCATGTCTGGCGACTCTAGCGTCCA